CATAAGCTTTTATGATGGAGTAATGTCAGACCTCTCATCTTACTTGAGATTGATGCATGAGACCACATCAGTCAGGTTGTGTGTCAGGATTACATGATGGACCTGAGGTCACATAACAAGCACGCGTTGGGGGATGTGATGAGAACACAGCCATGGCATAGCGACATAGCATCAAACAGGGTCACTTTCTCTGCAGTGAAATGCCGTGAGGTCTCTGCCATTTCAGGACCAGGAAAGATTTTGCAGGTCCCTGACAAGGCTCAGTGACAGCAAAACATGAGGACAGGAACATGTCCTAGTGCTGAAGAAAAGACGGATAGAATGTACAGAAATGTACAGAAATGTAACGTTTCTAAACGGAATGGAATTCAGTTTGTTCTATTGCACACAGTGCTGAGAATCACACTTAGTAACTACACCTTTGTGCAGCTTATCTAAAAATCAGACTAAGCAATAGCAGCCACTTCATTCCCAGTGGTAATTCTGGGGTAATCAGACTGTCTGCACTGACAGTTTGGAGTACATAAATACTGGGTGGTTCAACTCTCATGCAACACACACTAACTGGAAGAAACAAAATACCGATGTACTAATGCAGTTGTAAATTTTAAAACCCATGTCATAGCAATTTCAGCTACTTACACAATTGCCAGATCAAAAACTCCTTAGAATACCAGGATCAATTATTTTTCCTTAAAAAAAGCATTAGACAATCCCAGTTAAGCTACAGCTTTTGATGACACGGGTGTTTGCTAACAGTGTTCTTGACACAGGTGAGATGATAAAGGGTTACATAGGGAAAAGGAGGAAATGGTTCTCCATGGAGAAACAAATTCCAGGTGGTTAGCTCAAGTAGCGAAAAGGTTGAAAAATACCTTTCTTGTGGTCTTGTAATGAAAGTGCAGTCATCCTTTCTAGGCAAAGATTTCTCGGTGTGTTACTGTAGCTGCCTTTGATCAAGGCACCTGAGATTATCAATTGAGTATTCCTGATTCATTCACATAAGAGAAATTATTCTAAATATTAATATTATGTATTTTAAGTTTTCCATGGGGTCTTTCCTTTTCTCTCTCTCTCTTCTTATTCAGCTGCACTCATCATCTACTAGACAGTCATCTACTGTCTGGAAGCAAACTTATGTTTTTTTGGTTAATCTTGTTTTTTGGGGTTTGGTTGGGGTTTGTTTTGCTTGGGTTTTTTTCCTCAACATGAATAAAAGGGGGGTCCTGTGAGCATTTCTTTTAGGAGAAGAAACAGGTTAATAGGTTCAGGCACATCTTTGTATATAAACAGGATTGATTAAATGTACAGCTCATACACTAGGAGATAATTTCTCTGTAGACAGACATCTATATGCCTTTCTACCATAATTTTACCAAAAAGTTCTCTGAGCTTTTCTTCAGTAGAGATTTATAAGGACTCCTCTGATGATGCGTGTTTTTCTTTGGTGTTTCTGCTCTTTCTCTTCCACATACCCCAGCTGCAATCAGTCCCTCATGTCTGCACTGACGTTCAGCCGACAGTGGAACTAGTTGCTCACGTGATTCAACCTCACAAATGGCTTCTGATTTGGATGGCAATTTCATGGCTAAGCAAGCCTGTGCAGGAGCTATCCTGTCATTTTGGCTGAGTGGAGAACAGCCGTTTGTAACAATGAGCTGCTTCAACAAACAGCAGATGGCTTGACCCATTATTTTTTGATGAAATACAGCAAACTGCTCCCAAAGTTTGGCACTGCAGGACAGACAGGATACATGACACATGCGTGCAACAGAAGCAACAAGCAGCTCGTTGGTATTTAGAACTGCAATAAATAGATGGCAGTTCTAGTTCTCCAGTTATCTTTTGTCAGAAGCAGTATAAAACTAGACATTCTATCTGTGCTTCATCATGCAACCCTGGCTGCCGGTTCACACCAACGTGTTGCCTTCACCTCTAAAGATAGAGGTGATATTTGGTTATTGTCTACCCTTCCAGACAATTATGATGATGACTGATAATGCAGCTGTAATGAGATACAATACCAACAGTTACTGGGATACTGGCCTATTATATCGTACATATCAAAGTTCAGATCAACATATATTGGGTGTGAAGTTATGTCATCTTATTTCCAACACTTCTGTTGTGTAAGCGGCCAGAATAACAGATGGACAAAGGAAAACAAATAGATTATAGAATCATAGAATCATAGAATCATTAAGGTTGGAAGAGACCTCCAAGATCATCGAGTCCA